TCTCATGGAATAGTCCCATCCATATTGTCACGTACTACCGATACCTTCGTTTCTATCCGGACGGCTCCGCAGTCTATCTACTTACTACAGTGGAACCCCGCGAGGTGGTCCCTCACATTAGCAAAGAGAACGTCAAGGTCGCCCGAGCGACGACACAGAAACAACATCCTCGTCACACCTCAGATGCCACTGTAAGCGCCGAATCCACGGATGCCATTCCTCATGTCGCGCTGGAAGCTTTGAGACACGCCTACCGGGGTCGGTGGCGCTTGGCCAAGCCTGTTGCCGACTCTGACTCATCGTCGGAAGACGCGCAGAATGAGTTGCCTACTGCATATGAGTCACTGCCTGACAAGGCTGCCGCATCCCCGTCAGATCCGCGGGACCTTATCATTGAAACCGAAGGCGTGGGTCCGAAGTACATGTATCTCTTGCAACTATCGCTCCGGTCAACCCCGGCAGCCAAATCGAAGCAGCCCAACGTCTCGCCGCCGAATCCATCGAAGAACACGAAGTTGGCTTGGAAGGGATATTGGAGCTACAACAAACTCACCGACGACTGGGCTGAGTTCGGTCTCAAGAATGATCGCTCATTTGTCTTCCGGCGCGTTCGTGGATGGGGCTTAGATTGAACAGAGAAACGATTGAATGGGTTTTGATTGACGATGTTATTCGACAAGATATATGTTGGCCACCTAGATTCTTACTAGATATATAAACGTCACAAATTCACGGAACAGCATAACGTATTTCCCCTAAGTAAGGATGAGCGTAAAGACCAAAACGGCACAAAACGGCACAAAGGCACCCTCAGCACATAAAACTCAGTCAAAACCATCACATATTGGATTAAGTTCTCTCTATACACACCAGTAAAACCCCCTACCCCGACCAGAAAACCGCAATTTTGCTTTTGCTTATCAGCCCAAGTCCAGCCATCCTCACCGCCAAGGGAGCTTATCGATAAGGGGCCGACCGCCGCGGTCCCCCAGCAAAAAATTTCGGGGAAAGTTTTGGGAGGAACGCTTCTCTCCTCCGCTCGGAAGTCCGCAAGAACAACAAAGCCGTCGCAATTCACACGGCATGGGGATTTGATTTGCGATTAGAATATAACTGCCATCTATCGATCTTCTACTCTTTCCAGACGCTCTCTCTATACATTTATTTGCGACATCTTTTTGGGGGGAACGAAACGCAAAATGCCCGAACGGGTCCGCACCGTCTTCGACGACGAGGACAGCGCCATCCCCGTCAGCAAAGCCTCTTCTTCCAACACGAAGCCCGAGGGCAAGGACACGCAAGCGCCTCCGGAACCTGGTCGCACGAAACGGAAGGAACCTGGGGTCGACACGGAGGAGGATGGATCGAAGAAGCAGAAGAAGAAGCAGAAGAACAAGAAGCGGAAGGTCGATGGCGGGGGTACGGGTGTGAAGGAGGAGCCGAACGGCGTGGTGATGGACGCAGATGCAGATGCAGAGAAAGCAGCGCTACGGACGAAGAAGGCCAAGAAGAAGCACGCCGGAGAGGAGGAAGCGAAGCCCGAGGACAGTGGAAAGCCACGACTCCACCACCGCAATCACAACAACACGACAAAACCGAAACACGGATCGGCCAAGAACCACACGTTCGGTCCGCTGCGCGAGAAGGCGCAGGCGCTCTACCAGCTGCGCAAGAACCTGCCGATCTTCCCCCACGCGGACGAGATCCGCGGCCACCTGCGCCGGAACGATGTGATGCTGTTGATCGGAGAGACCGGTAGCGGAAAGAGTACGCAGATCCCGCAGTTTCTGGTCACGGAGCAGTGGTGTCGGCCGGTGAAGGCGATGGTTGCGGAGACGGCGGAGGGCGGGGCGGTGGAGAAGGTGAAGGAGGTGCAGGTGGGCGGATGCATCGCCATCACCCAGCCGAGAAGGGTCGCTGCGATCTCGTTGGCGCGACGTGTCGCGGATGAGATGGGCACGCCGTTGGGGAACTCCTCCCCGGCGAGTCGGGTCGGGTACTCCGTGCGGTTTGACACGTCGACGTCGCCGAGTACGCAGGTCAAGTTCCTGACGGAGGGGATGCTGCTCCAGGAGATGCTGCATGACCCCTGGTTGACCAAGTATAGTGCCATTGTGGTGGATGAGGTGCACGAGCGCGGTATCAATGTGGATCAGGTGTTGGGGTTCTTGAGGAATATGGTATCGGGCAAGCTGGAGGGCCGCGGAGGAGTGCCCTTGAAGGTCGTGGTTATGAGTGCTACGGTTGATATGGAGACCCTCACGGGCTTTTTCCAGGAAGGGTTGCAGGCCCGATGTGCTATTGAAGGGGCTACGGAGGAGAGCAAGGTGGCAGATAGCCCATCCGAAGACAAGAAAGAGGACCAAGGCATCGCCGCGTGCCATATCAAGGGTCGTCAATTTCCAGTGAAGGTCATCTACTCGCCAGAGCCTGTCCATGATTTTATCGACGCAGCGCTCAAGGTGATCTTCAACATTCATTACAAAGAGCCTCTGCCGGGTGACATCCTGGTTTTCTTGACAGGACAGGAGACGGTGGAAGCCCTTGAGAATCTCGTGAATGAGTATGCAGTCGGGATGGACCCCGCCCTCCCTAAAATCCAGGTCCTGCCACTCTTCGCAGCCCTGCCCCAAGCGGCCCAGCAACGAGTCTTCCTTCCGGCGCCGCCTCGAACCCGCAAGATCATTTTGGCCACAAACATTGCCGAAACCTCCGTCACGGTGTCTGGCGTGCGGCATGTGGTTGATTGTGGCAAGGCGAAGGTCAAGCAATTCCGCTCGCGTCTTGGGTTGGATTCCCTGTTAGTTAAGCCGATTTCCAAGTCGGCAGCGATTCAGCGAAAGGGCCGTGCCGGTCGTGAAGCGCCCGGCTCGTGCTACCGACTCTACACAGAGAAGGACTACCTGGACTTGGATGAAACCAACACTCCGGAGATCCTCCGTTGTGATTTGAGTCAAGCGTTGCTCAACATGAAGGCTCGCGGCGTCGACGACATTATGGGATTCCCATTCCTGACGCGACCGCCACGAGAGGCATTGGAGAAGGCGTTGTTGCAGCTGCTGAGCATTGATGCCTTGGAAGAGACCGGCAAGATTAGCCCGATCGGGAAGCACATTGCCAAGCTCCCTCTCACGCCCACACTGGGTCGAGTGCTGCTGGCCGCTTCTGAGTTTGGGACGGATTGTCTGCTAGATGTCATCGATATTATATCATGTCTCAGTGTTGAGAATATCTTTCTGAATACGACCTCGGAGGAAAAGAAAGAGGAGGCGGAGGTTGCGCGACGCGATCTGTATCGGAGAGAAGGCGATCATCTCACCATGATGGCTACAGTGCAAGCTTACGCGGCCGAGAATACGGATCGGAAAGCGTGGGCTGAGAGACATCTCGTCTCCCACCGGGCCATGCAGTCTGTTATGGTATGTCTCCTCTCGTGTGATTAGTGATGCGTCCCGGGTATAGAACTTCCACTAACCATCACGCCTGCCACAGGATGTTCGCAAACAACTTACCGCGCAGTGCCGACAAGCCAAGCTTCTCCCCAACGACACGCGGGGCTCTTCTACCACCAATGACTCCTCCCCGATGTTCATTCTGAAGAGTTTCCTTCGAGGATTCGCTACGAACACGGCGCGCCTCGTACCGGATGGCAGCTATCGTACGGTGGTGGGGAACCAGACAGTGGCGATCCACCCGTCGAGTGTGTTGTTTGGCAAGAAGGTGGAGGCGATCCTGTACAACGAGTTTGTTTTTACGAACCGTAGTTACGCGCGTGGGGTGAGCGCCGTGCAGATGGATTGGGTCGGAGAAGCGTTGTCTGGGTAGGATTTCTTGGTGCTCAGTAGACTATAGGCATCTGCTTGCTTTTCCTGGTCTGCAGCCCCCCAGCCCCTGTAAATAGATAGATGGGTTGCAGCTTTCGATAGACCGACCTATTATACCCACCTTTCCAGACTACTGAAGTCGAATTTGCGTAGAAAGTGGGGTGGGACTGGGCTGCCCCCTGACAGTCAGTCAGCTTCCGCCTTGAACCATGCAGGGAAGATCAAGGATGACATGTCATTGAGATCAGAGGGCAGAGACAGCGGGTGTGGGATGATCAGCACTGGGCTGATCCTTGGTCGAGAAGGAGGGGGAGGGTGACAGGCGAATCTGAAGCGAACGCAGAGAAACATGATTGCCTGAGAGTAATTTTGGAGTACATTGGCGACGAGTTGAGGACAGATAGCGAGGGAGATGGAGATGGAGATGGAAATGGAGATGCGATGGCGGACGTCCGTCGATCATCCGATTCAGCCAAAATGAGGCCAATAGTCAAGAGTAGGGTAGATGCATAGGCCGCATTCGATCACAATAGGATTAACACTATTTTGGATTGAGGAACTCTTTTCATGTTTTCATATATGTACTCCGTACTCCGTACAGTCCTCCGTACCATAGGTGTGGATGCGATAAGGAAGTTAATGATTGTCTCTTTGTTTGATTGATTACCAGTTGACAGACAGCTGAGCTTGGAGAACAAGTCGTGCCTTCTCTATTGGGTCTGGTGACATGCACTCATCATCCGTTTCTTCTTCGTCTTCGTCTTCGTCTTCGTCTTCTTCCTTCTGCTACTTCGTCTTCCCTGTTCACTTCCCTGCTTTCTTTCTTTCTTTCATCCTTCCTTCCCTTTTTTTTTCTTCCATCTATTGTTCATTGTCGGATTATGCCACCAAATTCCGTGGCGGGGACGAGAAAGAGATCTGTCTCGGGTGGATGTCGGAGGAATACTCCACGCCATAATCTCCATTCTTATCTCATACACTCATACACATTCAACTAACCTAACCTAACCTAACCTAATCCCACGTCATCCGTAATTCATCATCAGCCCCAACCCCAACAATACACCGCTATCGGACTGATCATCTCTCATCTCCTGTTTCTTTTGCTGCCCTCCCCGTCTAGAAACCTTCTACCCCGTTTCAGATTCCACTTTTGCGACCGGCTTTTATTTTTCCATATTCTTATATACCTGGCAACCTCAGTTTTGTGGCGTCCTCCTCATTTACTCATACTTCCTAAGAATTCTCCTTCGAGCCCCCTCCGTTTGTTCGTCACGCGGGGAAGATCTGCCGCGATCGATAAAGTACCATCTTATCTCTCCTTCCCCCACGTACTCCGTACTGTACGGAGTATCCGCCTCCCCCTTCGACTCAACTACACTGCACTGCCAACTCATGGCTTTTCGTTTACCTCCTCAAGTTCCCCGCCGTCGTCCCTCATATTCGCATTCCCTACCATCTCCAGCCCTTGATATCCCTTCGCCTCTTTCGCAGCTACCGGAGCACGAATCGACAGAATGGGTGCTCTTCTCTCCAACTCAACAACCCTCCACTATCGCCCGCACCCATACTACGTCCACTGATCGCACGCCACGAACATATGCCCGCTTGAGTGATTTCGGCTCTTTTGGCACGGCAACGCGATCGGCCGTGGGTCCGGAAAGTGAGGAGGAAGAAGACGCCCTCGATGAGCCCCTGGACGATGACGGCACCGAGCTAGATAGTCTAGATGATGGGCTCCATGCCTTTCGGGCGCCATCATTAGTACACGACGACCCCGGGGCACCTGTCACACTGCCCGCTCATGACGGACTAGGTAGCTTCCAAGCCTCCAGCGAGACAGTACAACATCAACTGTGGCAACACGAGCAATTTAACCCTCATCGAAGACCCGACTTGCAGCCACGGCGGCGTTCAAGCGTACAACGTCAGCTAGATTCGATCACACGCGACGAAGAAGCAGATGTGGAGCGGGAGCGGTGGCAACGTATTGAGAAATGGCGGATGGAACAAAGTCGGGCACTTTTGAACGAGATCGAGAAGGCCACTCGAAGACGCCGTGATAGCCGTGCTAGTCGGTCCAGTGAACAAGTTGAACAACCGATTCCGCCTGCCGAGTCTTTCGAGGTGTTTCAGACTCCTGCATCTTCTTCGACAGCAGAACAGGAAACTGACAACGATGAATCTCTATGGAAACGCATCACCCGCAAGGTAATTCAAGATCTGATCGGGATCGATGATTCCTTGCTTTCTGTCCTTTTCGGGGAGTCGTTGCCATGTACCGAAGACGGAGAGATGCACACATCAGCGCGGTCGAATAGTGATTTTGACTTCAATGAGGCGATAAACCAGAAACTGGATTCCGCGTCGGACCAAAGCCCGCCATGGAAGAACAAGCTCCTGCAGCGCATTGCGCGCGAATTAGGTATACTTGTCCACCAGCTCTGTGAGCATCCCGGTGCATTCACAACCTATCTCAACCTATCCCATGATATCCCCAATCAATATGCTGGCATTCCCCTTGAACGCCTCCCCGAAGAAGACAATCAGTTATCTGCCTTAGCTGAGCCTGCGACTATGATTGAGTCAACAAACAATGCGGAATCAACCTTGTCGCCTCAGTTCACCCCCACTTTGCAGGTTCCTGATAGCCGAGAGCACGCGGCTCTATGGGGTATTGAAGACGATGACGATTTGGTCCGTGGTAGCAGCGGCTCGGCAGGCGATCCATTGTCTGAATCGGCACGTATTCAACAGGAAAGGGAATATTGGGAGCGGGAGTTAGACGTGTCGGTGGTCTTCCGCTACCTACGTAATCGCTTCAGCCAGAGACCTAATGCTACCGACTCGTTCCATAACACGTCGCACCGTCCTACGCAGGATGCCTCTCGCCGCGCCGCAATTATCCGTCAACATCATCCTCTTGTTGCGCGCGCACACGCTCGCTCCCAAGCACAGATCCGACGCCAGTCCCAATACTCTTCCCATCATTCAGGACCGACCGGGGTCTCGTCACCCGTCCTCCGCCAACGATTCCGTCGACCTAGCTCCAGCTGTGCAAGTCAAAGCGCAAAGATGTCTGCTATCTCCAGCCGTCGGACAATGACGGGCTCCAGTCGAAACTACTGGGATATTGGAGGGAGCATTGACAGCGGAAGTGCGGTTGCACCCGTTGCCGCTGGGGTTGGAGCTTGGGGAGACGTGTGATCGGGTCCCTGAGTGTGTAGTTTCTGAGTTGCACATCACATACTGCATGCTGGCCATCGAACGTATTACTATTATTGTCTCAGACCGGGAGTCTTGGCTACTATTCTTGGGTTTTCACATACCAGCACAACTTTCTGGACTATTGTCGTCTCAGTCACGAGTACATATCTAGCTATTTTTCTTCTTGGGATCATCTCATCTATTCTTCCTATTTTTCCAATTTTATCATTATCATCACCATCAGCGATTTCCTAGAGAGGGGATAGAGGCAACTCATTAAGTCATCAACGGCGAGGTCGGCAGGTGCATACTATCTAGGCGTGTGATATGGTTCGTCAGTGGTCGCAACAAGGGCACAATTCAGCGGGCGTCTGGGTTCAGGGGGGATAGAAACCATTCATATGGGTCAATAGTACGAAGACAGAGATCATTCCAACGAGGCTCATTGTCTCACTATCTGATTTCTGACAGAATGCATCCATCTTTCGGAGTCTCCGAAATGTTGCCAATAATTGACCTGACAATGTGGCTCGCAGATGTATATCGCTTGTGTATCATTACGGGAACCGCTGCTATCTCTCTTTGAATGTAGATGTCGACTAAGAACAGTGATCATCTCACATGTAATACTTCCGCATTGAATACTACTACTATGTCGCCTGTCAACGATTCGAAGATTGGGACGTTCTGGATCTACAAAAGTTGGATCAATATGTCCGTCCCCGCTTCGAACCATGATTTTACATATATGGGATCCGAGATCCTCTTAATCATGGTCGAAAACTAGAACTATGATTAGAAATGCCAGGCAAGACGACCAACTTCATACCCAGTGGCTATGCCAAGAGGATATTAATCAAGTACATAAATCGCAGCGCATATGAACAGAGTCCCAGTTGCGTGCGTGTTGGGTCTGGACCATACGGGTTGGAGTACTTGTACAGATTCTTGGATTGGTTTCATCGATCTGCTTGATCCATCGGGTATTGTACATATAGAGTGGCAGATGACGCAGGATCCGTCTATTGAGTACTAAGCTGGATTGCAAGTCAACCTTGCGGATCACGGTTTGGACTGTAACGAGAGCTGCCTCGTAAGTGTAAGACGGGGATGGAAAGCTGTCATGACGTGAGGATCCGCAGGGTGTTATCGGGGTCTACAGAGCGGAGGTATTGTCTACGTCGTGAACCACAGGTTCCGGTTCAACTCCGAGAGCGTACAGATCCAGACACCAAGCAGCTTAGGGGAAAACGGATTCTCTTTCTTTTCTTTCATGTGCCAGAAGAAGGTGGGGGGGAATCATAATGGTCTCAAAAGGGTAGTTTCCGATCACATTATAAGAAAAAAAAAAGAAAGAACACGATGTAAAATGCTAATCAACATTCTTTTTCCCCATCATCAACACTCGAACCGGCGACCAGACATCTAAGCCTGGGAGAGGTTCTCGTAGGCGTCGGGGAAACGCTTCATGTTCTCCTCGATGAGACCGTGGCCACGGAGGAACTGGACGTAGGCGCCGTCCTGCTTGAGCTTGCCCTCCTGGCGGAGCTGGACGTAGTCCTCGCGGCGGACGGGGGTGAAGCCCCAGTTCTTGGAGACGATGATCTTCTGGCGACCGGGGAACTTGTACATGGAGCGGCGGAGGGCCTCGATGGCGGTGGCGCGGTTGGAGTCGCGGGTGCGGACGGACAGAATGATCTGGCCGATGTTGACACGGGCGACGGTACCCTGGGGCTTACCGAAGGCACCACGCATACCGGTCTGGAGACGATCGGCTCCGGCGCAGGACAACATCTTGTTGATACGGATGACGTGGAAGGGGTGGACGCGGACGCGGAGGTGGAAACCTTCCTTACCGGCGATCTTCACGAGGTACCTATTTTCGTTTGCGTTAGTCTGGGCTCGGTGGACGATGGTGTTCAAGTTGGGGCGACGACATACTTGTTGGCGCAAATACGGGCGGCTTCGAGGGCCTCGGAGGACAGCTGCTCGTACTCGTTGGAGACGAGGTGAACGCAGAGGGGGAAGTCATCGACGTTGGCCTTCTTACGTCCCAGATCGAAGATACGGATCTTGGGGTCGGGAACACCACGGTTGAACCGGGACTTAGGGTAGGGCTGTATGAGAAGGCGCGATGTTAGTTCTTGTTGTTATACCCTTTTCCTCCCTTGTTTGGATTGATATGCGAATCCATCGCGATATCCTCCTTCTGCCTCGACACGGTTGTCTTGTCCATCCATCCTTCCTCGTTCTCCACCCCACACAACTGAGGCATCCGTCCTCACGCACAAACACACACACACAAAACCAATATCCCGGACGCAATCTCAACGCACCTTGTTCTTGCAGTAGCGGTAACATCTCGCGGGACGGCGGGCCATTTTGACGGTTGGGAAGTTGGCTTCCTTGGGGGTGGGTTGTCGAGAAAGGTGGTGTCGGGAGGTCCAAAGGGAGAAAAGGAAAAAGGTCTTCTCGCGGGCGGGCAGGAGAACTTTCGACGTTGATTTCCAAGCAATCCGTCCGCCCGCTACCGAGTGGCGCAGCCCTAAACCCTAGCATCTCCGCCAATCACCGCCCGCGCTGGCCCATGACGGCATTTGTCAGAGTCGGAGACATTCTGACCAGTTGTCGCCTGCATGGAATACAGGATCAAGGAGATCTTTTGATTTCTAATGAAGGAGGCGTTGAAAATGATGGTGTCATTTTGAGTCAGAACGAGGAGTTTTTGGTGTGTTGTAAATGTTGAGTCACAAGCCTTGTTTCTTGGCATTTGGCTGGTGACCGCATGCAGAGGATGGACGGAGTCCGTGCCGCTTGATACGCCTACGCTCTTACAAACTGGTAGTAAGATTCTGGTCCATTCTTGGCCTTTTCCTACGCGGCATGCTATTGCCTGTGCACATCAAGTTCGGTGGAAAGGATTTTCTTTTCTTGTCATTATCTAAAGCATGTCATAACGAGTGTCGCATCTTCACGACATTCAACACATTCAGACATAACATGAAAGTCATTGGCATGATCCTTGCTGCACCTACTGGCTGGAGAGGATGTCGGAGTCACCAGCGTCGAGAATGGTCATGGTGCTGGTGCGGAAGAGCTTACCGCAAGCAGTACCAAGCTCGATCTATAAGCGAAAAGTCAGTCCACCTGCTTCGAACGGTGACAGTGTCGTCATGTCATATTGCGACCACTGCACGACGACAATTGTATCGACAAGTGCTACTCACGTTGTTACCAGAGAAGTGGTGAACGGGGGTCTTGGCAAGCATGGCGTAGTACTCGAGCTCACTCTTGCGGAGGGGGGGAGTGTTGGCAGCGATGATGACCAGCTTGGCCTTGCCGGAGCGGAGGGTCTTGATGGTGGACTTGTAGCCGAGGGTGACTTTTGAGGTGACAACAGTTAGCGATTGTCATGGATATCAATATCTCAAGGAATCCGAGTTCTTGCAACATACCCTTTCCGGACTTCATAACAAGCGCAAGGCGCGAGTTGATGGTGTCACCGGTCTTCTTGCTCTTGGGGGCCATCGTTACGCTGTCGAAGACTAAACTTCTGCGTGATCAATTTTGAATCAGCAAAGGTTCGCTCGGGATATTTTTTTTTCAAGCCAAGCGCTAGAATGAACAACCGCAATCGACCAAAAGCCAGATAAAACTGGCAATGGTCAAGAGCGAGTCGTCACTCAGCCATGGCTTTTGGTGAGAAACCACATACCTAAAGGTTGAATGTGGTTTTGTTGTAAAGAGAGTGCGCTCCGGCCTTGTCTTGGGATGGGGATAGAATCGAAAAAGCCTGTTACCGCTCTTTTTTTGTGGGTTCGACAAATCGCGGATCCCACTTCTTCCGTTCCGGCACCAATGACTAAATACACGTGACCATCTGGCACCGTCGGTATCGTGTCGGGCCAGCGGCACGTGATCCCGTTCCCCAAAGTTGGGCCTGGCCGTGGAATAGCCGACGGAACGTCCAACTAAGCCTGGTGTTATCTCCCAGCAGCCTTCTTTGGTGCCCGGTTCCAGCAATCGTTTAGGCATGGATTTTGCCCTGCTACCAAACTTCCTTCAAGATCCGTACCGAAGTAGTTCCGACATGGTTGATGTCGATATGTGTTCGGCTTGTGTGTCTTTTCAGTACCCCGGGGCCTGTGTGAATCTGCCCGCTTGTACGGAGTATATGCACTTCGCGCGTGAGCTATAGCCATGTTGCATATGCCATGAGAGATTGGGACGGGTTCAACTTCTACATATGTAACACAAGACAAACTAGAACAATACGAGATATATGACAGTTGAAGTAAATGTAAGGTGAAAGCATGCCTCAAGTATTCATTGCATAAAAATATTGGCTAGGACGTAGTGAGCTTGAAGTCTGCTTGTCGAGCTGAGTACTGGCATTGACTTCAATTTTGAGAACGTCACGCAAGTAACTACTGGCTCCGAGCATACCTTCCCGTGGTATCGTCGACTCAGCCGCCAAGGTACAAGATCGTACTCGTAAGCGCTCCTTGACCCAGGAGGCAGTGGTTATTTATACTGTGGCTGATGTCATTAACCGAACTATTGACGCCGTTGGCGCTATTTGTGAACCGCGGTATCCTGCAGCAAGCAAATATGGGTTCCAGATCGATGTTGAATCTAAAGAAGTTAGTGCAGAAATGTAAGAACACATGCAGTGCTGCTTGAACAATCGGAGCATACAAGGCAGGGTTCTGTCCTCTCAATCAAGCAGCCACTGCGAAACGGGTTAGAAGTTTTCTTGAAACCGCAACTGGTCATGGTCCAATTGAAGCCTTTTGGGCTGTAACATAGATAATTGGAGGACGCTCATTTCTCGTTAGCGGGAAGTAGGTGGTCATGCCATCACAGAGGGCTGGCAGGCGTCAAAACTCAGGGGTTGAGTTGATCGCACTTGGAAGCAGTTCCGGTCATGGGAGATTGAATATGCGTAATTAGATAGCGGAGAGTAGGTTCCCTGGTGCTAACAGTGCTCATTCATGGATGGACCCTCGGATTGTGCGAGGGTGCGGATAGTATACAATGGGTTGCCTAGGCAGTCAGTTGACGGGATATACTACGGAATAGCACCAGGTCCTTTCTTCACGCGCAAGATGGCTTGTTTCTACCGCCTTGCTGGCTGACATCGCATCATATATCGTATCGTGGGATAGCCTTACAGCAATGCACAGCCGGAAGTGTAACGCAGACGTGGCGCAGTTGTCGGCATTTTTGGATTTCCTCCGCCCCCTGACAAGCGGGGATTCATGATTGGGTGGCAGTCGTGAGACGGCCAGACCCTGGCCGCAGCAAGGAAATCGAGGGGAGGATGAAGGGAGAGAGGGGTGAATCGAGAGTGGCTGCTATCTTTGTCGTTGCCATGTGTCGATTGGGTTCGTGTTGTTGTCGTCCAGTTGAGAAAAGTTGGTTGGTTAGTTGGTTGGTTGGGGAATCCGTGTTGTTAAGGTTGCTGCTATCGTTGATCCGCATTCGGGCACTATGTCCATTAGGAGCGGACATTCTCTCCACCTTATTGTAGCCCAGCGGAGACGGATGAGGTGAAAAGAAATGAGAGTTTGATTAATTTATGTCATGGCAGATTCTCCAGGCTTAACAAAGACTTCTTTGCGTGGGAGAATGAGCACTGGAAGAAGAGCGACTGACTTCATAATGGGATTATTGTGCTCATGGGGAAGAATCCCCAGGCCAACATAACCCGAAATTACCATAATTACCGGCCAAACATGGGCAGACAGTGGTCATATACGGTAACAATCGAACAATCGTGCCCATCACCCACCCAGAAAGATAGACCAAGACGGACGGACAGAGACGGCCAGACAGCCGTAGACAGACAGATTGATTGATTGATTGTATTGCATGCAATTCTCAATTCTCAGATTGATTATTAGTTACTTCCTCTCCCCTCCTCCCAGATCATTTTATTTCCCTCAAACACTCTCTCCATGCTGATCGCTCCTAATCCCTAACTTTCTTCTCCCCCTATATCCACCCGGCTTACATCCGCGCAACGGTTTCCTCTTTCTCTATCCTTGCGTGGTTTGTTCTTGTACTTGAACGCACCGCACCGTCTTTTTTTTTTTTTTTTTTTTTTTTTTTTTTTTTTTTTCCCCCCCCCCCCCCCCTTCTCCGTTGCCCGCCCGCCATTCGAACCCGACCCTTCCCCCCACCGAGATAGTTACCTAGTGCGCCCACTGTTTTGACCGCTACTACAACTGTGACTCGGCCTTTCCATTCCTTAAATTAATTTCCCGGCTGTTTCACAGCACTACTCTTTTCCCTCCAAATCTCCAGAGGCACTTTTTTCCTCCTACCTTCCCCCTTATCTGAATTGCCTCGCATTTTTGGCCTCCCAACCCGTCGCTTTCGGTCAATTTGTCATTGTCCGATTGAATAGGTCAACATGTCCGCGACGCCTCGCAAGCCCAGTATTCCGGGCAGTGCCAGTGCCACCAAATCTTCGACCACTGAAAACCAGGCAGTCAATGGAACACCTTCTAGAACCCATTCTCGCTCTCCTAGCACTACAACAAATGGCCTCACTCGTTCTCCTTCCCTGCGCTCGTCTACGCCCGTCTCTGCGCGCGCTGCAGCCCGGAAGCCAGGCCGCTCCAACCTCAGCACGTCAAGTGCCCCAAAGATCTCACCAAGTCCCTCCGACGAGGAGGCACGAGCTCAGAATGCGGCACTTATTGACGACCTGAAGGAACAGTTGCAGAAGGCCGAAACGGCCTCGGAACAATATCAGAAGCAATTAGGTGTCCTCCAAATGCGACTCGACGAGGCAATTAGCGAGCAAGGCAAATTAGAAGACCAGGCGCACGAGAAGGACAGCAAGCTCGATGCGCTCAACGGCGAAATCCGGGACCATGTGCGCCAAATTCGCGATATGGAGCAGGCCCATGAACAAGAGCGGAATGCCATGCTGCAGGAGAAGGAGCAACAAGCAAGCCGGGAAGAGGAGATGCAGGCGACTATTCAGCGCCTGAAGGAGTCGTTGGCTCAGAAAGAGCGGATCAACTCTGATGCAGACAAGAACATGTCTCGCTCATGTAAGAGATATTCCTGATTCTTTCTCGCCCCATTTGACATTTCCTGACATTTTCATAGCGAGTTTCCGTAATCGGTCGTCTCCCGATCTCGACGGACAGTTTGCGCCCTCTTCTCAGATCGAGCGGAGCCCCTCGCGAAACAACTCGAACTTGCTGCTGCAGAAGGATAAGCTGATCGAATCCCTTAGACTCGAATTGGCCGAGTCTCAGATTAAGCTTGTGGAGATGGAGAACCAAGGCGGCGGCCGACAGCGGGAACTCGAGAAGGAGCTTCTGGAAGCTCGCATGGCCAACGCTCGCTTGATGGAGGACAATGAGAGTTACCAGTTGCTTCTGAGTGAGCGAACCTTGAATGGCGATTTTACAAAGGGTGATTTCATGCGTGAAGTCCATCCTGACACTGCAGACGAGACCAAGGACGCGGGCAGCGGTTTGGGTTCGCTGGCTGATGAGCTTGAGTCTGTAGATGCAAGAGCTGAAACGGACAACACGCGCAAGCTCGAGGCCGAAGTCAAGGCGCTCAAGGACCAGAACAAGGCCTTGACTCTGTACATCGAGCGGATCATCAGCCGCCTCCTGCAGCATGACGGGTTCGAGACTATACTCGACAAGAATGAGAACGATCCGCCCGCCAAGCGACTTCCTGTTGGGCACAACAAGGATCTGCCTCCCACTCCTATGGAGAAAGAGGATCCTTCCTCGCAGACCTTCCTCCAGCGGGCTAAATCGGTTGTCGCGGGCGGACCGAATTCCAACGTTCCTCGTCCTCAGACCCAGCCCCGGTCACGCCCCACCAGCTATATGCCACCTCCGACCAGTGTGCCCACCGCCCACGAAAACCCGGAGACGGCCCCTAGCATCCCTCTGCGTGCCCAGTCAATTCGGGGTCACCGCCGGACTAGATCCGAGCAAACTGATGTCAATGTTGCAGCAGTCGTTGGACAGATGTATCGGGGCCGGAACTCGGGTGGCCCTATCAGCCCTACCTTGATGGGTCCTGGGTCACGCCAGAGCGCTTTCTCTAACGCAAGCTACATGTCCAGCATGAGTGCTAGCCGTGCGCCTTCGCTTTCAAGCCAGCCGGAGCATAGTCGCTTGAGCAGCTCAGATAGTATCACTAGCGACCATGCCGCGGAGACCGCTTCCACGGGCGCTACCTCCAGCTCCCCGCGCTCCAGCAACGGCATGACTAACTACACGGGCGCCGTGATGACGCAGAACAAGTTGCGTCCGTTGCGTCTCGTCAGCGAAACCACGAGACTGGCAGAGGAGGAGGAGGCTGCTCGGAAGAAGGCCAACCGCGGAAGCTGGATTCCTTGGTTCAACCGCCCGCCTACCAGCGGCGAAAGCCAATCTCCTATCTGATTGAACTGATGCCCTGGCAATCTCAGGCCCGAGTACCTACCTCATGATCAAGTCGAAAGACCCGATTGCATGAGGAAACATCAGTATCTCTTCATTAATACTTCTGACCTGCTCGCTTGCCTTATTTTCCAGTTTTTCTACCTGCCTGACCTTTCTGGGATACTTTTCCGGCAGTCACCATCTTACTGTCTCCCGCCCTTACCTCATTTCTTTTGGTGTTGATCATCATCATGGTGTTCGAGTTGGTTATGGGCCCAGCTTGCTCTCAGTTCATGATGGCAAGTCTGGCGCTTTTCGCAACCCAACCCCGCTTTCTGAAAGAGAAGATGCTTTGTTTTACTTTTCTCTGCTATTGGTTATGTGATAGACGACCCACACACCCTTTTGAACCGGAATGATGTGATGAATGCCCTGGCTATATGGGAAATTGTCTTTAAGGTCACTCGCTTCTTCAACACTATTGTATACTGGGATGGCCAACGAAATTCACCCTACCATTATTGAATCATGCCCCTCATTGTTTTGATGAACATACTTACATACAATTGCGCTTATATACATTCCCTATCGCGAGTGGAATGGACGTGCTTTACGAGGCCCCGCTTGTTCTCCCTTTTCTGATGTGCTTAGCACTTGGCGCTTCAATTCTTGTACTATAGAGTAGATAGGAACTCAGTTTTATGACATTCTGTCTTCAGCTATAGCCCATGTGTGTCCACTTTGCGTTCCCTTGCCAACACGATAGACTTATACCTGCGACAGAACACACGTTCATACTCGAAGCTTTCGAGGTAGGTTAGGTCACTCTAACATACCCTGATGTCGGATCATTGCATTCGAGGCGATATTATGGGCAATCTGAGGCTTCGCATTCTGACGGTTGCCTGCAGTCCATGTCAGGACAAACGCCTTAGTGGTAGCTTACGCTGGGCTGCGGAAACACGTGCACAAAGCCGGGGTAACGCATAAAAAAGATGCTCCAATAACTGCCAACTTGCCTCTGCCACTTACTTTCCAACCAACTACAGCTCGTGGACCTCTGCAGCTCTGACAGTAGATTATCGGTTGACTGAGAATCTGATTCTATGTCATAGGTATCTATCCCGTTGGCAAGATCATAACGGACTTTGCCAGCACGGATCTATTCCCGTTTCCAGACCAAAGTTATCGACGGGAAACTAACACAGAACCTTGATTTTGAGATAAAAGTGATCTTCGATGCTCAGGAAGGCGTACTCAAGTTCGAAAGCACCAGCCAGGGCCAGACGATCGGTGAAATAAGTGTTCGATCCCAGACTGTGAAATCCTACTGAGAAAAAGGGCCTTCCCTCGCTAGCTGTCTGGTAAGCCTCTTCAGCTTTAAGATGGTGCCTCTTGGAGGACGGCGAAGACATAAATTGAGGTGAAAGGTACCGAGCTGCTCATCATCAGGAGTGACTTAGCCTCCTAACTATATTCCATAGAGCTTGTAAAATCTTCAACTATGATGACAAAAAGCCCTCAGAAAGCTATTTGTATATGTTGGTGAATGAAGATGAAATCGAGATCCTGCATGAGCCGTTGCTTCATTGTATAGTGTAGGCCGGAGAAACATTGACGCGGCGGCCGGATTGCGGCCAGCTTGTAAATAGTAGTACGGAGATGTAAGTCCTATCGGAGCAGTCACCACTCACCCCAATCCTCGAAACCAGTCGTTCTCTGGTCCATTCGCCCACCATGCCCGGCTCTCTGTCCTTGTTCTCCGTCAATGCCGTCCTTCTCATGTCGGCCGACGACGGGTCCCGCATCTTCGCCAAGTACTACTCCCCTCCTCACCCCCCGGCCGGCACTGCCCCCAACTCGACCGATTATCCCGGAGCGAACCCCTATCCCACCTTGAAGGAGCAGAAGGCCTTCGAGCAGGGCCTCCTCGAGAAGACGAACAAGCAGACCAGCGATGTGATCCTCTACGACAACCGGATCGTGGTGTTCAAGATGGAGAGCGACGTGATGCTCTACGTGGTTGGCAGCGCCGATGAGAACGAAGTCCTGCTCTACAACGTTGTCCTGTCTCTGCGGGATGCTCTCGGGATCTTATTCAAGTACGTTTCCCCCTTCAAACATCATTTCCCCACGGGCCATTGAGCGGTGACTAACACGGCACTTTTCTTGGTCTGCAGGGGTGCCACCGACAAGCGCACAATCGTCGAGAACTACGACCTGGTCGCCCTGGCCATCGACGAGATCATCGACGACGGTATCATCCTCGAAACGGACCCCGTGCTGATCGCCTCGCGCGTGAGCCGCGCCCCCGCCCCCGATGCGCCCAACTTGAAGAGCATCGATTTGTCGGAACAGGGTCTGCTCAATGCGTGGGAGCTGGGCAAGCGCCGTCTGGCGGAGGGTCTGCGGCAGATGTAAAAACGGGGGCGACCAGAGTGATGTACTGGTGTTTTGATACTCATGCATGAGGACGTGATTCTGTCGGCTTCTTTTCTAATGTGTCTTGTTTATGTTCTCTGGCTGGTCCTGGCGTTGTATTGATCCGCATGATATACTTTTTTTTTTTTTTTTACAATGTTCTTCTCGAAAGAGATATCGTTGTTTTTGATGAAACCTCTGTTTTGCGGGGATTTGACTTATTATAGATACTCCTATAAATGTTCTTTTCGCGTGAGTGAATAATGCGAGCGCTTGATTGCGGTAATGGGAGCTGAGGGTGGACGAATTCCTGGCCAAAGTTACTGAAATAGAATAAAATGCTTAATGTGCAAAAGGTGCCATTGCCCTAATTAGAATATAGCACCGAGTGAAGCAGATGAGTACGCGCACGTGCAGAGTTCATTGAGAAGATAACGTTCGAATACAATGGAAAAGCGATACAAACCATACCTAGGTAGGCGAGATCCAGCCCCGCATACGTCACGCCCGCTCTCTCCGCCGTCCGAGAGGGACAATTTTCAGCAAGCACTCTTTGGACTTATCGAATCACTTTCTTTCCCTCCTCCCTCAGCCTGAGCGCACCACTAATTAACAGATTCTGGGGGACCAATCAATACACTAATACCCCAAGATGAAGCAAAGATTCTCTTCGTTGGATGTCAAGGTCTGTTGTGTTCTGTTCTCACCTTTTTGAGTTTGCACCCTCTCTTTCCCTCGGACCAACTCCCACCCACGTATCTGACCGATGTACTGTACTTGTGTAGGTCATCACCCAGGAACTCGCCTCGGAACTCATCAACCTACGAGTGTCGAACATCTACGATCTTTCCTCGGTAAGCTTTTCCCCCTGCAACCTAACTCTAGGATCCCAGCTTCAATCCATCTAATTCTTTGTCCCACCAAAAAAAGAGAATCTTCCTCTTCAAACTCGCCAAACCCGACCACCGCAAACAGCTCGTCGTCGACTCGGGCTTCCGCTGCCATGTGACGCAGTACTCGCGCGCGACGGCCTCGGCGCCGTCGCCGTTCGTCACGCGCCTGCGCAAGTACCTGAAGTCGCGGCGCGTGACGGCCGTCCAGCAGCTCGGCACGGACCGCGTCATCGACTTTGCCTTCAGCGACGGCCAGTACCACCTGTTCCTCGAGTTCTTTGCGGGCGGCAACATCATCCTCACCGACCGGGAGTACACCATCCTCGCGCTGTTCCGGCAGGTCGCGGCGGGCGACGGGCAGGAGGAGGAGACTCGCGTCGGGATGCGGTACGCGATCGACAACAAGCAGAATTACCACGGGGTGCCGGCCATCACGACGCAGCGGGTGCGGGAGACGGTGGAGAAGGCGAGGGAGCTGTTTGCGGCGGAAGGGGGCAGTAATGCCGCGCCGAAGAAGTCCCGCAAGAAGAATACGGATGTGCTGCGCAAGGCGCTGTCGCAGGGGTTCCCCGAGTATCCGCCGCTGTTGCTGGATCATGCTTTTGCGGTGAGGGGGTTGGATCCGGCGACGCCGTTGGAGGAGGTTTTGAGCGATGGTGGGGATGGGGATTTGTTGGGACGGGTGGTCGAGGTGTTGGAGGTGGCGAAGGGGGAGACGGATAGATTGTCCGTTGGGCAGGGGCATCCTGGGTATATTGTTGCGAAGGAGGATACGAGGCCCAAGGCGAAGGGGGCTGCGGATGAGAAGGAGGGGGAGGATGACGGGGACGCCTCGAGCAAGAAGCCGCCGGCGCTCCTGTATGAGGATTTCCATCCGTTTAAGCCGCGCCAGTTTGAGGGCAAGCCCGGCGTCACGATCTTGGAGTTTGAGAACTTCAACAAGACCGTCGATGAGTATTTCTCTTCCATCGAGTCGCAGAAGCTGGAGTCGCGGCTCACGGAGCGTGAGGAGGCCGCGAAGAGGAAGTTGGATGCTGTCCGGCAGGAGCATGCGAAGAGGATCGGTGCCCTGCAGGAGGTCCAGGGCTTGCATATCCGGAAGGCGGCCGCTATCGAGGACAATGTCTACCGTGTGCAGGAGGCCATGGATGCGGTCAATGGTCTGATTGCGCAAGGCATGGACTGGGTGGAAATCGCACGCCTGATCGAGATGGAACAGAGCCGAGGTAACCCCGTTGCGAGGATTATCAAGTTGCCTCTCAAGCTTCATGAGAACACAATCACGTTGGTTCTGGGAGAGGCTGGCGATGAGGAGCAAGGTGACGGCGAGGAGCTCTTTTCGGATGACGAAGACGAGTCCGAGTCGGAGGATGAGAAGGAGGAAGATGAGAATTTTGAGAAGAGGGCCGATGTGTTGGTGGTTGACATCGATCTTGGGCTCTCCCCATGGGCGAATGCGACCCAATACTACGAGCAGAAGAAACAGGCCGCTGTGAAGGAACAGCGGACGACGCAATCCTCTGCCAAGGCGCTCAAGAGCCACGAGAAGAAAGTCACGCAGGATCTCAAACGGAACCTGAAGCAAGAGAAGCAGGTTCTTCGCCCGGCTAGAAAGCTTTTCTGGTTCGAGAAGTTCCTCTTCTTCGTCTCTTCTGAGGGATACCTGGTTCTCGGGTAAGTATTTTTTCCCCAGACATCTTGAATTATCTATTCTGACTAGGACTAGTGGCCGTGATGCTATGCAGAGCGAGATGCTATACCGGCGGTACCTCAAGAAAGGCGATGTCTTCGTGCATGCAGACCTTCAAGGTGCTACGCCGATGATCGTCAAGAACAGAGCGGGCACGCCCAACGCGCCCATCCCCCCGAGCACACTCTCTCAAGCTGGAAATCTATGTGTTGCTACATCGAATGCTTGGGATTCCAAGGCAATCATGTCCGCTTACTGGGTCAATGCCAGCCAAGTCTCCAAAACCGCTGAGGTGGGTGGTCTTGTCCCTACTGGCGAGTTCGTCATCAAGGGCGAGAAGAATTTCCTGGCCCCCTCCCAGCTTGTCCTAGGATTCGCGGTCATGTTCCAGGTTAGCAAAGAGAGTCTACGGAACCACAAGCTACGCCAGTTCGACGAGCCTGCGGCTGCGGAGCCGATCGCCGAGGAAGGCGGTGCTCCCGCCGCAGCAGCGGAAGGCAAAGAGCCTGTTGAAGAGAAATCCGAGACGGCGGAAGCTGATCAACCTGAGAACCCCGATGAACCAGAGGAGCAGGAGCAGGTCTCAGACTCGGATGAAGAAGCTGAGGAAGATAAGGCTATTACAGAGAGAAACCCGCTCCAACGGGGACTGTCTGAGCCAGCTCAAGCGGAAGCCGGCAACTCTAACGATGCTCATGACAGTCCGTCGGATGACGAAAATGCCGAGGAGGGAGAGCGGGAGGAGCAGTCCCCTCAAAAGGAGACGACAGCTGCGAATGAGACTCTGCCGGAAGAAAGCTTGGCCTCCTCTCAAGATCAGGGCAAGCGACAGCTTTCCGCTCGAGAACGTCGTCTTCTCAGAAAAGGACAGCCACTCGACTCCCAGGAAACCACGCCCAAGGAAGCCGACGAGAGCGCAAAGAAGCCGGGGTCGAACGGCGCACCGGCCAAACCTACAAACACCAAGCAAGCGGGCTCTACACGGGGCAAGAAGGGCAAGGCAAAGAAGGCTGCGGCTAAGTATGCAGACCAGGACGAAGACGAGCGGGAGCTGGCACTCCGCTTGCTGGGCGTGAATAGCGAGAAGGCCGCCAAGGCCGCCGCAGAGGCTGAAGCCAAAGCCAAGCGTGAGCAGGAAGCTGAGGCTCAGAAGAAGCGTCGCAGAGCCCAGCATGAGCGAGCAGCGGAGGCCGAGCGCAAACGACAGGCTCTCTTCGAAGGGGGTGCTGACGACTACGATGAGGAGACGGCCGCCGCGGAAGCTGCGGATCTCGAATGGATTCCTGCCATGATCGGAACGCCTCATCCTGACGATGACATCCTCGCGGCCATCCCGGTGTGCGCTCCCTGGGCTGCCCTGAGTCGGTACAAATACAAGATCAAGTTGCAGCCCGGTACCGTGAAGAAGGGAAAGGCTGTCAAGGAGATCATTGGACGATGGGTCGCCGAAACGACGACTGGCAAGGTCAAGAAGGAGCATGCCGAGGACGCTGGCATTAATCGGGCAGCAGCCGAGAAGCTCCGCGAGCGTGAAGGCGAGTTGATCAAGGGGTGGAAGGATACTGAGATCATTAACTCAGTCCCTGTGGGCAAGGTACGCATCATGACTGGTGCAGGGGCCAGCGGAGGTGATAAGGGCAAAGGGAAAGGTGGTGGTGGTGGCGGCGGCGGAAACAAAGGAGGTAAAGGAGGAAAGAAGAAATAGGTTTTGAGCGATTAATCCTCGACCATTCGATTCCCTTCAGAGATGAACAAATGCTCGGATGACATGATCTCCATGCGCACAGATACGGAACTAGGACCGTGCACTCCTCCATAGTGACTAGAAACCAAACTCTGTTATAGAACAATCCCTGGACATTTCCTTGTTACTATGACTGTCTCCTTTCTTTTGACATGCTCAGAGAGCACTTCGATCACTCAATGCCTTCGTCTATCAGGTTCGATGATATCAATTTCTTATGTTGCATAGATGATTCGTGTGGATTACAGTTGATATGGATGTGCCGCCCAGTCCATGGCTCATCTTGTTGTAACACCAATGACGTGCCCATACGGAGAAACAAGCATTGGCGGGGTTGGACCCATCTTGTGGCAAATTAAAAGATGATAATATAAGGCTGGGCTAGGAGTAAGATGATATCAGAATAATCGAATGTCAGACTAGAATGACTGCAAGTTGGCTGATTAGAAGAGGGAGAAACCGGACCAGGCCTGGATGCCTGCGCTTAGTCACCAGGAAGCCGACGTCATCGCGAATTTTTTTTGGCGCGAAAGTTTCTCTCGAGTCATCGAGAAATGACATTAGACTGCGCTGTTACCTAGCAGCCAGACAGTCCCTCGGGCCGAATCAGTCCAGTGGGGAAAGGAGCCAGGAGAAATTGGATCCAATCTGACATATGTGAAAGAGTGAACGAATAATCTTGCACCCTTGTGACTCTTTACCCCCCCCCACTTGGAGAATTTTTGTCGACCATATTGACCCAACCCCGCGACTAGCCTATTCTTTCTCCCTTATGGTCTCGGATATCAATTGATATCCCTCTTGTCGGTTCAAAGTGGTGTTGTTC